GCATCATGTGTTCTCTGCTTGCCAGAGTATAGTCGAAGCTGGCTGTCTGCACAGGGGACAGTCTAGCTGTGCGCTGTGTAGACGACTGAGCCATGTCCTTTGGGTGGACATGTTGTGTTTTCAACAAGAGGCTTGTTATTGCTCTACTTCCCCCAGAGCTGTAGCTTTTCTAGGTGTAAAACAGCACTTAATTGTTTGCATGTGCATACACACTCACATGCACATTCCCTCTCTCTCTCCCTCCCTCTCAGCAACAGTTCCAAGTCCATGAAAATGTGGAGACTTATTTAAGCAAGAGAGTGGGGAAATGTCTCAGTGGTGCAGCTTAGGTCATTCGCTTCAGTTTCTGTATGACTTTCAGTGCAGGTGAAGACTTTGTGCCTTTGAGTCTCAGTTTTTAAAGCAAAGGAAATCTAATTCTTGACTCAGAAATTCATGTCAACATTAGTGCTTTATAAATGGTAATGCCAAACTTCAGTTCCTTCACTCTGGACTGATCGGGGTTCCTTTCCATAATTAGGAACAGATCAAAACCTATAACTGCTGAGGGAAGTTGGAACAAACTATAAAATCTTTGTAGATGCAGTTTAAAATTTTTTTTTTCAAAACCCCAAATACTCAGACTGAAAAGACCTGTGTGTAGGAAAGTGGTGGGTGTGTTGGGGCCAGGGGTGCCTTTTCTGGCCAGTGGTTCCTGTGGGTGAGGTCCCTTCCCTCAGCCTGGTCTTTCTGAGAACTTTCTTAGTTGTTTGCCCAGTGAGCAGAGGCTCAGCGGCTTCTGAAGTGCCCGCAGTGTGGAAGGGTAGGTGTTCAAGACATAGAAGGGACAGGCAGGCGTTGTGTGTGCAGTGAGGAGGTGGGTGGCGGGGCTGAGTTCTGGCTCGTCACTCACTCTGCAACAGAGGTTGTTATTGTAAAGTGGAACTAACATTAAAGCCCTCTCCTTGCTGAGCATTTCGTCTAAGAGGCCAGAGTCCACCAGGGAAGGCAACCCAGATTTGTTAGGAGAACTGGGTGCCCATTTAAATTTTACAGGGATGCTTCTGGGTGCTAACAAGATGGCTGTGCCAAGAGGTGTGTGAGACTTTTGTTCCTTCAAATACACTTTTTAAAGTAACAGCTTTATTGAATTAGAATTCACATCCTATACAACTTTTCCAGGTAAAGTGAATAGTTCTGTGGAGTTTAGTAGATTCCCAGAGCTCTATAGCCATCACCACAGTTGCTTTTAGAATATTTTTATTACTGCCAGAAGAAGCCTGTTAGCAAACCCTCCCTAAGTCTCTTTCTCTGGCAATCACCTACCTGTTCTTCCTGATCGATATTTGTCTATTCTGGACATTTCATATAAATTTAATGTATAATGTGTGGTCCTTCATGACTGGCTTCTTTCAAAGTTCTTGTTTAGAATGTTTCACTATTTCATTTCTTCTTAAAGCTGAATGAGAGTCCATGGAATATCTGTGCACATTTGTTTATCCGTTTATCTGTTATCAAAGGATATCTGGGTTGTTTTCACCTGTGAGCTATTCTGAGTAATTCCAGTTACACATTTATTTATTTATTTACTTAGGGTTGTGTGTGTGTGTGTTAAAGTTTGAGTCTTTCTATGTTTTATATTTAAAAGGTTCTTTTCCTGCCCTGTGGCTTTCATCATTGAGACGAATTCATCATCCTTCTATATAGTCTCTTCTCCTGCTTTTCACTTATATCTTTGGCTGTTTCACTCTTTTTTTTCACTGTTTTGACTCTTCCCTGAGGTCTATGAGGCCTGGGAAAGTGCTCCCAGAGGACCATGTTTGAATTGCCTCTTGCTCCAGCAGCTCTTTGTGGGTGACAGGCACATGCTTTCCCTATATCTAGAGGTGTTCTATCCACTTCCTGTGTGCTGACATCTTTCCCTCAGCATCACCCTCAGAATAAAAACACCAGAGTACTGACATTGGCTCTAAGCAGTGATATAACTTTTACTGGAGGGAGTGGAGAGGCTGTCCACCTAAATTGCCTAAAATGGATAGATGAAGAAATATCAATAAAAACCCAAGTAACTATAATAAAAGGCAGGAATTGGTGTCTTCGAAATGAACCATATAGAAACTTCTCCAGGATCTCCATGTTCAGTCATAGCAGAAGGTAGAATATGACCAGAAGGTAGACTTTCTCATGCCCTGAAAGGGAAGTCAATCAGGTACTCAGAGATCCTAGAACAGAGTGAGCCAGTTCCCATTGGCGACTGGGTAATGGAGGGAGTGATAGCGCTGGAACCTAAAGGGCTAGGACAACCCACTGCAGACAGGCAGGGAGGCTCTCTGGTGGCTGAATACCTGGTGTCAAGGATAGGACTACAGCACACTAAAGACTTTTGTTTGATGGAACACAGAATTAGTGTGTGGGAAGTGCAGATCCCCTGTATTTTGCTCAAATCCCTGGGGTTAGCTGGGCTTCTGAGTTTCTTAGAATTTGTCTGACACATCCAGAGACTCTTGGGGAAAACATGCCATAAGCAAGCATCTTGGTGAAAGTTGAGTTGGAATCAGCTTGTTGAAACAGGGGCACAAATATAATTTATGTTTCTTAGACTGTATCTGAAAGGCTACCATTAGCACCCGCAGTTTTGTGTACCTAGCAATATGTAAAATTAGTTCATCAATTATTCTTTAAGTGTAAGCACTATGAGTATGCCACTGTTTTATAACAGTCAAATGTAAACAGATCTGGGAGGAATCGGAATCTGTTTTCTTCTCCCTCTTTATGTGTTTAATCTGGAATCTTCATTCACCAATATTGATTGACCTTGTTTATGTAGTTGTCTTCCAATCTTATTCAAAAGCTTAGCTGGACATGGTAACACATTCTAGTAATTCCAGCTTCTTGGAAGGCTAAAGCAGGAAGATTACAAGTTTGAGGCCAGCCTGGGCAACTTAGCAAGACCCTCCTGTCCCAAAATAAAAAATAGAAAGAGCTGGGGGTGTAGTGCTCAGTAAAGTGCTAACTTGGTTTAGTTTCTAGTAAAGAAGGAGACGAACCTTCTTTACTAGAAAAGGTGAGGACCGTGACCCATGTTCTATAGCTTTTCTTCATTTACAGACCCTTGTTGTTTGGGACTGGTTATTGTAAAAATGAAGGAAAAGAATAGAAGGTAGGTTTTTCTTTATTATATTATAGGAAATCTGTATTACTTTGTATTTCTGATTATCAATGGTTGCTAGAGGGAGGACACAAAAACTTGAGATTTCATAATCCTGTGTATCTGAAGCTCAAGTAGGTAGTTTTTTAACTTTATTTGTGGAATGTGAAAAAGCAAATAAGAATAGCAAAAAAGCCAACAGCAGAAGTCTCCCTTCTATAGTTGTCAAACAGGCTGTGAAAAGAGTGCAAGAGGTGTGGGGATGTGATTCAGTGATAGAGTACTTTGCCTAGCATACTTGAAGCTCTGGATTCAGTCCCTGGTACTGCAAAAGAAAAATGGGGTGGGGATAGGGTGTGGTGGGCTTAGGAAAACAAGATGCTAATCATTGACTTTCCTGATTTCTATCATACATATTGGCTGTAGTGAGATAGGTACTCTCCTTGTTTAGTAGTTGTTTCACCTAGAATAGGTATAACTCTATTCTGAAAATCTGAAATCCCAAATTGACACTCAAGAAGTTTCTGATTAGTCCTAAGGATATAGCTCAGTGGTATAGCACCTGGCTAGGGTACATAAGGCCCCTTGGTTCAGTCCACAGCACTGCAAAAAGAAAAAGAAAAAGATATTTATGCTAGGGCATAGTGGTGCAGGCTTGGAATCCCAAGTGAGAAGCTGAGGCAAGAGGATCATAAATTCAAGGCCAGTCTGGGCAACTTATGGAGACCGTCTCCAAATAAAATTTTAAAAAGGACAGGGGGTGAGCTCAGTGGTGGAGTGCTTGCTAGCCTGCTTGAGTCCCTGGGCTCAATCCCTAGCAATACACATACACATACAATTTTAGATTTCTTAGCATTTCAGATTTCACATTTCTACCCTAGGGATGTTCAATTAGTAAAGTCTAGGTAAATATTGCCAAATCTAAAACAAAACAAAAATCAGAAAATCTGAAATATTTCTAGTCCCGAGCATTTTCAGATGAGGTATATTAAACCTGTAACTTTGTAGGGGCCACATTCCCCACAAAAAGCAGAGAGTAACACCTTGGCATCTGGTTACCAGTCAGTACATAACAAGGTCACAATTATACTTAATCAATTCTGAGACATTATTAATATTCTGATCCCTGAAATCATTTGTATTTTACAGTCAGTGATTTAAAGAGCATCATGTCATAATTTGCAGTTTTGGCAGTGATTTTTCTTAATAGTACACATAATAATTTTGCCTCTTTCAGTCATTGGTATCTTAGATTTGGTATTTAATATTCTTGGTATAAAGATTATTAACTATATAGTAAAATTATTTAAGTGCCAGCTAATAACATATTGATTATCAAATGACAGTCAGTGTAGCAAAACTTGAAACACAATTTTTTTAAAGTCAGTATCTTGAGGTGAGTACACATTGGGTACATAAATGTTGAAGGGTAAGGGCTCAAACAGAGGCTGCTTGCCTGAGGTAGATCCAAGGATTAGTACTGGGATGGAACCAAGAGAGCAGAAAAAGCATTGTGTTTAAGAGAGGAGCCGGGAGGGAGGGAGGGAGCAGATCGATTGCCCATCATTGGGGTTTCAGCATCACCACTGGGGTTTCAGGATAGGAATCTGAGGCATCAGATTGAAGGAACTTCAGATCCAGTGAACAGTGCAGAGGAGGCTGTTGGAAGTTGTGTGGAAGCCTTAGAGTATGATTTTGAGGTTTGCAACTCAATAGGGAAAGAAAGTCAAGGATGAAGGACCTTGCCCTAAGTGAAAATTTTTTTCACTAACTTCTTTAAAATGTAAAGTCTGTCTTTCAGCTCAACTCAGGAGGCTGAGTCAGTGGTGCTATTTTGTAGCCAAATAACTTGCCACCTGTTTTTCTACCACAGATTGCCTTCTCCCAGCACAGCAATTTTATGGACCTGGTACAGTTCTTCGTGACTTTCTTCAGGTAATTTTCCTCATATAAATATTCCTATTCTTTCAGTTCAAGCCCATAATTCCCTAATTGAGGTTTCAACTTCTATAAGAAAAAATAATAATCCTATTTCCACAACAGATTCAAAATGTACTTTATACGTGTCCTGAAAAGTTGCATGTCAGTTTCAGTAATGCAAGTTCAGTAAAACCTGATAAAATTAAAACCTCTGGTTTGTATATTTCAGATTTGGGGGACAGCTTTGCATGTACCCTATATTAAATTACAGATAATTTGGGTCTTCTTATGGGGAGAATTTTGGAATAAATATTAATAACATTTACTGACATGATCTATGTATATGCTTCTCTTGTTCAAGAGATAGTTCCAGTATTATCTAATGTTTAAACTGAAATTAGACCTCAGGAATTCACTCTTTTATTTTCACAGTCTTAATTTAATCTGAAAATGCTATATAAAAACAATTGAAAAAGACAAATACTTGCTGCCATGCTTGTAAGTGAAAGTAACAGCATCCTGTCTCACACCTTTCTACCCCTTCCTCCCCCAATTTAAATTTTTCTAGCTGCTTTTTACTATTCTACACTCACACTAATTCTTGTTTATGGTTGTTTGTTTTGTTTTTGGTACTGGGGATTGAACCCAGGGACACTTTACCAATTTAATTAATTAATTTTGAGAGAGGGTCTCACTAAATTGCTGAAGTTGGTCTTGAACTTGCAATTCTCCTGTCTTAACCTCCTGAGTCACTGGGACTACAGGTGTGCACCACCACACCGAACCTACACTAATCCTTGATTTTTCCAGTTATCTCTTGATGTCCTCTAGAAGATGAAGATTTACTCTTACGTTGCCCCATCCAGCAACTCCCCCCATACCACAAATGCATACAAAATCTCCTTCTTCCCATTCATTTGATTCAGTTATATCTCAAGAGTTTAGCTAAATCAGTGATCCCTATTTATGTTATTATGATCCCTAACACTCTTATACACAGCTGAATTGAACTTAGTATCTCCATGTTTTCTGAATAGGAAATTATTTTCTGCTTATCCTAAATCTAATATTTTCCCTGTTTTGTCTTTTTAATGTTTGATTTTTTTTACAAACCTACCCCTGATTTATGCCTGTACTCTGACAGAAATGAAACACCTGTCACTGTTGTGAAACCCAAGCAGGTGTTCTCTGAGAGACGTTTGCCCTGGAACCCTCTGTCCTCTTGCCCTCAAGTGCACTAAGTTGTCCAAGACCTGCTGCACAACTGTCATGTTAGGAATGTCCTGTGCCTTCCTCCTGTGTTGAAGTCTGTTTCCAGATCTCATGTCATAACCTTGCTATATATCCCCTCCTTTCACTGAAGCACATTTTTCAGTAGGTTCCTGAGAAAAGGTGCATGGCCAGTAACTTTCCTGTGAGCTTCCCCTACTGAAAATGAAAAAATTTTTTTTCTTTTTGGTATTGGGAATTGAACCCAGGGGTATTCTTCCCGGAGTTACATCCCTAACACTTTTGATTTTTTTTTTTTTTTTATTTAAGATAGGATATCACTAAGTTACCCAGGTTGACCCTGAACTTGCCGTCCTTCTGCCTTACTCCTAAGTAGCTGTGATTACCTCATTTTTTAAAACAACATTTCCCATAATATGAATGTGTCATGTTTTATTTGATTATTCCTCTTTTATGTGAGTCGTAGATTATCCTCAGTTTTTGTTGCATATATCTTTTTATTTTTCTGTGATTGTCTTTCCAGGAGAGTTTTCTGACTTATAATCACTGTATCAAAATTTAAAAATACTTCCAGATGGCTGCAAAAAGCATTTGCTTGAGTTAACTCTCCTACAGCAAGAATGAGCCTGCCTGCTTCTTCCACTCTCCTGTGCTTAGCTAGAGGAATAAAAATAACAAGCAGCAGCATTATGCGTGGAAACAAGAAAGACAGAGAAGGTTATTCTCAGAGTCCTTTACTCCTTCCTGTTCTTCCCAACTTCTCAATGTTGGGCAGTTAGCACATTCTCCTCTACCTGTATTCTTCCCTTGGTGACCTTATCAGGTTGATTGCTTCAAACACCACATGTATACTGATGACTCCAGGCAGACCCGGTACCCAGCCTGCAGGCTTGTTTATCTTCTGGGATGTCTTGCGTTAGCATGTCTAAAATGGGATTCTTGATTTGCTGTTTCCTTCCTGTTCCATCCAGAGCTTTTCCCTTCTAGGTTAATGGTAAGTCTCTCAGGCCAGAAATTTGGACTGTTGTGTTTCTTCTGTACCCTGCATCTAGCCCATCAGGAATTTCTGTTGTCTCTACCTTCAGATTATACTTTTCACATCCTTGCTGCCATCACCCTGGTTTGAGCCACCATCAGCTCTCAACTTACACTGCTTCTCTCCTGTAGTTTCTATACGAATGGTTGTAAGTTAAATCATGACCCTTTTCTGCTCAGAAACCAGTTTAGCCTCTTTGTCCCACTCTAAAATCCAATGCCATTATTCTGCCTACAGGGCCCCATGTGATCTCTCCTCCATTTTTACCCCCTTACTCAGCTTTTTTCTCTGGCCTAACTCAGCCCATTGCAATACTACTGGCCTCCTGTGGCTCCTTAAACCTTCATAGACATTTTCTTGCTTGAGGCTTAATACCGACTGATCCCTTTGGCCCAGGGCACTTTGCACTTCCTCATAAGAATCCTCTGAGTCTCTGCTTCCACTGTCACTTTCTCAGGAAAGAAGGCCTACACACTCTGCCTATATATTGTAGCTTCCCTCCCCTTTGATTTTTTTTGTCCTGGAGATCAAACCCAGGGCCTTGTGTGGGCCAGGCAAGCACTCTTGATATTGAGCCACACCCTCTTCCCCCAAGCCAAATGTTCCAGAAGTTCTTATCCTTCCTTGCATTTTTATGGCTGTAGCCCTTGCTGCCTTCAGCAGGCTTCTGCATTTGCTTCTTTATGTCGTATACCAGTGGTCTCTACTTGGTGAAATGGAAACTCCACAGGCCCAGAAATCTTTGTCTGTTCATTGATGTATTCCATGGGCCAAGAACAATACCTATCCCAATGAAGTATTGATTAAAAGAACCCTGTAGGCTGTCCAGGCCCAGCAAGACAGCAAAATAGGAGCTGAAGACTCTCCCTTGGGATGATCCTGAGGGATTCAGGGCACTTCTCTTTTGTCAAGGCACCTTTTGGAGGGTTCTGAACCATTGTGCTTCCTGGGGAGGGCTACAGAAACCTGGAGGTTTCTGTTTGTGAAAGGGTAGTTTCACAGTGTCAGCACTTGGGTGCACTAAAGTGCCATGCATGAGATTGACCTCATCCCTTATGCACTGAAGCTTGCAAGGGGGTACCTGACAGCAACAGAATAGAGAATCTTATGTCTGCCTTTAAAATACTCTGGGAAAATACTCTGCAGCAAGCTCCTTTTAAAAGTTAATGCCAATTTTAAAATTTATAGCAGTTATATAAGAGGTTGGTTTGGTAGGCTCACACTTTTTTTTTTTTAAAAGCAAGTTAGTCATTTTCTTTGCCATCACAGTAACTTTTAAAACCATCCAATACCTGGTCTGTAGATGAGATAACATAGAAACCCTTTGCAGTTATAAATAACTGGGATTTATTTTTTTCCTAATTTTTTAATAGTTATTTTTTATTTGTAGTTGGAAACAATACCTTTATTTTATTTATTTATTTTTATGTGGTGCTGAGGATCGAACACAGGGCCTTACACGTGCTAGGCAAGCACTCTACCACTGAGCTATAACCCCAGCTGCATTTTCATAATATTTTTTTAAGAGAGTTGTTGGCTTGAGTTTGATTACTTAAATGTAGGTTTTTGTTGTTGTTTGTTTGACTGGGGGTTGAACCCAGGGGCATTCTATATTGAGCTATATTACCAGCATTTATTTATTTATTTATTTATATATATATGTGTGTGTGTATATATATATATATATA